TATGAACTTCATATATTTCATTGTATCTCATTTATCACTTTCACGGGTTTATTACGAATCAACTTAACGGCCTGCTCCCAGTTGGCTTGTTAGCTCAATTGGTAGAGCGCTGCACTAGTATCGCAGAGGTCAGTGGTTCGAATCCCGTACAGGCCTGATTTTTTTCAGGTCTGATTTTCGCTATTGCTTAAATAGCGCTATCTACTGCGAGGATCGTGCATCATATGTATCTAATACCGCAGTACAAAATATATGAACTTCATATATTTCATTGTATCTCATTTATCACTTTCACGGGTTTATTACGAATCAACTTAACGGCCTGCTCCCAGTTGGCTTGTTAGCTCAATTGGTAGAGCGCTGCACTAGTATCGCAGAGGTCAGTGGTTCGAATCCCGTACAGGCCTGATTTTTTTCAGGTCTGATTTTCGCTATTGCTTAAATAGCGCTATCTACTGCGAGGATCGTGCATCATATGTATCTAATACCGCAGTACAAAATATATGAACTTCATATATTTCATTGTATCTCATTTATCACTTTCACGGGTTTATTACGAATCAACTTAACGGCCTGCTCCCAGTTGGCTTGTTAGCTCAATTGGTAGAGCGCTGCACTAGTATCGCAGAGGTCAGTGGTTCGAATCCCGTACAGGCCTGATTTTTTTCAGGTCTGATTTTCGCTATTGCTTAAATAGCGCTATCTACTGCGAGGATCGTGCATCATATGTATCTAATACCGCAGTACAAAATATATGAACTTCATATATTTCATTGTATCTCATTTATCACTTTCACGGGTTTATTACGAATCAACTTAACGGCCTGCTCCCAGTTGGCTTGTTAGCTCAATTGGTAGAGCGCTGCACTAGTATCGCAGAGGTCAGTGGTTCGAATCCCGTACAGGCCTGATTTTTTTCAGGTCTGATTTTCGCTATTGCTTAAATAGCGCTATCTACTGCGAGGATCGTGCATCATATGTATCTAATACCGCAGTACAAAATATATGAACTTCATATATTTCATTGTATCTCATTTATCACTTTCACGGGTTTATTACGAATCAACTTAACGGCCTGCTCCCAGTTGGCTTGTTAGCTCAATTGGTAGAGCGCTGCACTAGTATCGCAGAGGTCAGTGGTTCGAATCCCGTACAGGCCTGATTTTTTTCAGGTCTGATTTTCGCTATTGCTTAAATAGCGCTATCTACTGCGAGGATCGTGCATCATATGTATCTAATACCGCAGTACAAAATATATGAACTTCATATATTTCATTGTATCTCATTTATCACTTTCACGGGTTTATTACGAATCAACTTAACGGCCTGCTCCCAGTTGGCTTGTTAGCTCAATTGGTAGAGCGCTGCACTAGTATCGCAGAGGTCAGTGGTTCGAATCCCGTACAGGCCTGATTTTTTTCAGGTCTGATTTTCGCTATTGCTTAAATAGCGCTATCTACTGCGAGGATCGTGCATCATATGTATCTAATACCGCAGTACAAAATATATGAACTTCATATATTTCATTGTATCTCATTTATCACTTTCACGGGTTTATTACGAATCAACTTAACGGCCTGCTCCCAGTTGGCTTGTTAGCTCAATTGGTAGAGCGCTGCACTAGTATCGCAGAGGTCAGTGGTTCGAATCCCGTACAGGCCTGATTTTTTTCAGGTCTGATTTTCGCTATTGCTTAAATAGCGCTATCTACTGCGAGGATCGTGCATCATATGTATCTAATACCGCAGTACAAAATATATGAACTTCATATATTTCATTGTATCTCATTTATCACTTTCACGGGTTTATTACGAATCAACTTAACGGCCTGCTCCCAGTTGGCTTGTTAGCTCAATTGGTAGAGCGCTGCACTAGTATCGCAGAGGTCAGTGGTTCGAATCCCGTACAGGCCTGATTTTTTTCAGGTCTGATTTTCGCTATTGCTTAAATAGCGCTATCTACTGCGAGGATCGTGCATCATATGTATCTAATACCGCAGTACAAAATATATGAACTTCATATATTTCATTGTATCTCATTTATCACTTTCACGGGTTTATTACGAATCAACTTAACGGCCTGCTCCCAGTTGGCTTGTTAGCTCAATTGGTAGAGCGCTGCACTAGTATCGCAGAGGTCAGTGGTTCGAATCCCGTACAGGCCTGATTTTTTTCAGGTCTGATTTTCGCTATTGCTTAAATAGCGCTATCTACTGCGAGGATCGTGCATCATATGTATCTAATACCGCAGTACAAAATATATGAACTTCATATATTTCATTGTATCTCATTTATCACTTTCACGGGTTTATTACGAATCAACTTAACGGCCTGCTCCCAGTTGGCTTGTTAGCTCAATTGGTAGAGCGCTGCACTAGTATCGCAGAGGTCAGTGGTTCGAATCCCGTACAGGCCTGATTTTTTTCAGGTCTGATTTTCGCTATTGCTTAAATAGCGCTATCTACTGCGAGGATCGTGCATATGTATCTAATACCGTGCATATGTATCTAATACTTTCTCTTTGAAAGTTGTTTGCCAGTCATTTGATTTAGCTTCTCGCTTTCTAACTATGTCCGTGATTCTCATAATGAAGCAGAGCAGGAAACATTTCGTCTGTGTGGTAATCATATGTGCTGCTGATTTGGCCTCCTTATCAGTGCTCAAGTTAAGTTGAGTTTTTTCTTTGATCTAATAACCCAAACCAAAAAGCTCTGAGAAATCTTTCCTGATGTAGACAAAATCATTCTTTCGTATCATTTACCACAGTTGCACTTTCAAAAGGTACAGTGTAGGAAAAATGTTTCACTTCAGTGACCAATTAAAAGGACGGAAAAATTGTCAAATAACAAAATTCTGATTTAATGTGTTTGTTTTCGAAATGCAAGAAATTGATTGACTGGCGCTTGAAGAACTGTACTATATTACTTTGCACGAAAAAAGGTAAATGCTTTCTTGATGAAACATCATTCATCAAACTTCAAAAAAAAAAAAAAAACATTTGAGGTCAAAGAAGGGCAATAGAGAGAAAAAGGGAAAAAGAAAAAAAAAACTATCCAAATACTGTGCAAACGTTTTGTAATTCGTTTTACGGTAATATCTGTAAGAAGTACGGGCCTATCAAAAAATGAGTAAGGTTACATGTCTAACATAGCGATCCATAACAGTTATACTCACCGAAAAACACTCCCACAGCAATCATTACTGTTGGTCCGTCCCCATAAGCATTTGATACTTTGCAAGTGAAGTTCACGATATCCTCTCTCGCTTCTGTGACTGATGTTGTAACAACTGAATTATTACCAACACTTGTACCGTCACCCCTGAAGATCTCATGCCTCGCTGGTGGGTTGGCTTGTGCATAACATTCGACAGTAAAGATTTGATTCAGAAAAACAAAACCGTCCGCGGTGTCAATCATCAGCTTTGTCTTCCAGGGTCGATAGTCTGTAAAAGAATTAACAGTCAACCTCAAAATAATCGGACCTAAAGAGTACATTAAGTGGTCGCGCAGGTAACCGATTAAAGCTCCTTGTGAAGATGGCACCTTTTACATGTCAGTGCAACAAACAAGAGAGAGAGATTATCAAAACAAACAGATAAAATTTGAAACCCTAGAGAATACGCTTTCAGTTTCTTCTTTTTCTAACACATACATCAATCAACTGCTCAAATTAAAGATATGATTTGAAAGCACTTGTGAAGAGCACTGAATGCAACGAGCTCCGACACAAAAACTCACAACATGAAGAATTTTTTTTCATCTTCTAATATTTTACATTAGAGAATGCTCCCTTTCCAGAAATCCTATTTTCCATCACGAAAAGTAGAAATAAATTAACATCGCCAGAGAAGTAAAAAGAACGCCTTACAATGTGGATGGCTGCTCAAGATACAGTTTTTGCAAAACACAAGAAACCTGCTAATACATCATTTTCAAAGACTTCAGAACAATTTTCTCAAATTTCAAATATGTTGTATTTAAAGATAGGAAGTAGAGAGAACCTATTCCAGATGAGAACACAGGCTTCTCACAAAGTTTTGCCTTTGTTTGGTTGTTGAAATAGACGAGGATAACGCAACAAATCACTTATAACGACTTATCGTATCTTAGCTCACTATATGACTCGACTCACGAAAAACAGTGATGTAGATGTCTCGTGTAGAGAAATCCTTCCCGACGCTATTTTCTGCAATGTATTTGTAAAACCTCTTATTCTATTACCATTGATGTAAAACGACCCACGTACATCACTGCTGTCGTTAACAAATATCCATTTAATTGTAGACACGAGATTACTATCCGCTTGATAGTCTAGTGTCGCTTTATCGTTATCATTGACTATCGTATCATTCATGTGGGTTAAAAAAAAAAAAAAAGAAGTAAATTTATATCAACAGGGCAGTAAAAAGAAAAGCCTTAGAGTTTACATGGTATATTTAAAGAGCAATTTTTTTGGAGTTTGACTCACAAAGAACAGTAATGTAGACGTCTCTTGTAGAAGGATTTCCGACGCTATTATTTGCAATGCATCTGTAAAACCCTTCATCCTGTTTACCAGTGATGCGAAATGTCTCTGGCACAATACTCATGTTTGAAACGAAAATCCATCTGATTACAGGCGAAGGATCACCATTTGCTTGACAGTCAAGTGTCACTAAGTCAGTCTCATTGACTTCTGTATCATTCATGATGCGGGTAATGTTTGGTGGATCTGAAAACAACAACACAAAACATTGGTCAGTTAATGCATACTGAAGGAAAATACTAGGAGTTTCTTTACAGATCCATATTCTCTGAGTATCTCATGATCAAGGTCCAGTTACTTTCAATGCATTTAGAGAGCTTTTGTAAATTTTTAAAATAAAGTAAAAATGATGATGTCCATATTTTTCAGGGACTATTAGTCACCAATTTCCAAATACAGGGGTCGTTACCTGGCTGAAAGCTACGATCAGGAACCTTAGTGAGTATTCTAAAACAGCCGTGGATACGAGCTTTAAACAAAGGACGCTTATATTCCATAGGGACCCAGAGCAACATTGTCGGGAAGTGATCAATTTTTCCAGACACCAAATAGCAGGATTTATGGATAAAGATGGTTTCTTAACCCTCCCAAAGCCCTTGACATGACATAGGTCAGGGTTACTAGGATAGTCATTGAAGGACACAAAATGCTTGTTACAAGATTTTCTAAATCACCAAGAGCGTTCAGTTTTTAGTCCAAAAGGACTTTAACTTTAAGCACTTTCCATACAAGGTAGTAATATGGCTTGTTTGCTTCTCGTTTATTTTCAATCGAGAGGGAATTAGCTTCAATCACTATTTACATAACCTTTTTTCTGGCCTTTTTATAAATTTCCCTTGTGATCATCCCACAATCAAGTACTTTCTTCACGTCATCACGATTTTTGATTGCTTCCAAAATGTCATTGGTCGGCCAGGATGGTTCATCAGACGATTTAATGCGTTTTCTTATTACTGGTGCTTGACAACAGGCAAAATGAAAAACGAGCTTATTCCAGATGTATAGCATCTTATTTTGGTCATTTTCGTACGAGACAAATATGTTCTATAAAATCCTTCTGAGGCCTCATTCGAGCTAGTACATTTTCTCCCATCATCCGCCACTCTCTGAGAAATCTTTCACTCTTACCAGCACTTTCAGAAGTTTTAGTTTAGACGATGGACGAAAATGCTCAAAAAGGTATGCGTTTTCATTCAAAATTAGTGACAGGGAAATCCAGCCACCAAAGTCTTCGATGAAAACTGTGTTCTTGGAGCCACGCTTTAGCACAGTTCTTTAGAATACTTCGGTTTCACGGAAAAATGTTCAGTCTTTAAATAGACTGAAGTCGCAGAAGAGGGAAAAAAAAGAAACGTTCAGTCATGTCACTACTTTCCGTCGACACAGAAAGAACATAGTTGATGGATGAAATGATCGCTGAATTCAGATTGCTTTAATCAATTAAAGAGATGTTGACTAGGCGTTAGCTTGCTCAATTACTTGCGGTTTAAATGACAAAATCCGTTCTAAAGGCAGATATGCGTGGCAATACACCTCGTTCAGGCAGAGAGTGTGTGAAAATTAAACACGATTAGTCATGGGTGAAAACTTACAGGTTCGATTGTTTAAACAACATTTGGGCTGAGTTTATGAAAGTCGAGGTTTATAAATACTTAACACACAAAAAACGACTATCCAAATATTGTACCTCCAAGACCAACGAAGTATTGATTGGGAATTTAACCTGCTTAGAGGAAGGTTGAAACATTGTCTATGGGAAATTTCATGGCCAGCCATTCTCAAAAGGACATTGGGTACTTGGCATACTGACAGTGACAGTATGACGAAAAAAATTTACAAATCCAGCGCTCTAGAGACAGATCCTTAAAACTGCTAACAATTTTCGATGCAATTTTTTTTTAATTCAAAAACAGAATGGTCACCAACAAAAGGCAGCATCAGACATGGTTTGATGCTACTCTGGTTTAAGGATTTAAGGAATGTAACTGGAAAAATTACAATTCATCGACCCAACGTTTCGACACTCCTGTCTAGTGCCTCATCAGGAGTGATCTGATCTTTGCAACAGAGGCCCTTTAATATGCTCACCAATTAGCTGCCCTTTTTTCTGACGAGGCGACAATAGGCGTCCGGTAGTAAGCCGCCATCATCACGATTTTAAAAGGAGCGTGAGCGGAGTTGATGTGCCAAGCTTCCAAACAAAGGCGCCAGTGGTAGCGGTAATTAGTGGTGATAGGCGGCCCAAGCGTACTGTGTGTGATTTTGGATCTAAAGGTCATTAACGGGAATAGCTAACAGACTATGATCGAGTTTTAAACGTAAGCGCGGACCGTTTTAAAAAAAAAAAAAGAAAAATTATTAAAAAAAATTAAGAAAAGAGTCGCCAAAACAGCGTTAATAGGACCGTAAACTACAAAGCGGCTACGGAAAAAAGGTAAGGAGACTTCACACGTTATATTTCTCGCTTTCATTATCCTTTTTAATTTTTTCTTAATTTTTTTACAATATTTCCTTTATTTAACGGCCCACGCTTACGCTAAAATTTCGATCTGTTATGTTATGTCATATTATATTATGTAATGTTATGAATCACCGTTAATGGCCTTAAGACCACAAAATCACACACAGTGCGCTTGCGCCGCCTGTGGAGTAATTTGCCGTTAGGACGTCGGAAACAAACTTCCTTTCCTCAAACTTCGAACTAAGTGAAGATGGTAGACAGTCAGCCCTCGTGAGTAGAATTTTAGCTACGGACTTTTTATGGAAAATAAGATGATGAGAGTGTGGTATGGGTATGGTACGAGTATGGTCCCGGACGCACTGGACTAACAAAATTTGTTTGGCCCTTCCGAACATCTCGACAAAATTAGTCTCTGCCAAATTTTCAATTTGTCAAGCGTGGGCACACTGAGACACAGTAAGTGTCAATCACACGGAAATAAACATCATCGCTTGCGCGCTGTTCGCGGGAAAGGTCACATGTGATCTCAGGAGTCATGGGCTCATGGTAATCTTTAACCTGGCATTTTATTACTCTAGTTTTTTTCTTCCTTGTATTCGTTCAACTCGAGCAAAGGCAGTTGTTACTTCTACTGTACCAGTGGAGGCTTCACCTTGTTCGACTGCAACTGGTTCTAGAGTACCACACCAGATTTGTCCGTAGAAGGCGGCAAAAGCCTCATTCTTATTATTGGAACTTACCTAGACCTTGCAATTCTTGGTTTTAAATTCATTTTCATAGGCGTAATATCCTCGAAGAATTCTTTTATCGCTACACGAGAATGTCGCGCGACACGTCTGGCACCCTGTTGAGCACTCTTCGTCATAAGCCACAAAGGGAAGACACGCAGTTTAGGAACAGCATCCGACCAAAATCGGACTATATCGCTTAGCACATGGTGGGTCATTCAGAAATGCAGGCTGCAATGAATGTTGGTAAAGCAACTGCTCGTGAAACAATAATATTCACTGATGTCTGAAAATACTCCGTCTAAAAATGGAGATAAAATTTTCTTGATTGACATTTTCCTTCAAATCATGGCGCATAAATTGACAAATCTGTCAGATTTCACGCCTGACAAAAATTTGTTATGCTTCGAGACAGGATGATGGCACCTTTAAAGTTTGGTAAGCCTTGACAAAATTTGGTAGATCTCGGGGAACTGGTGATTTTTTCGCAAAATGAATTAAAATGCCCAGTGCGTGGCCTCTAATTCAAATACGATAGGAGGCGTTCCGCATCCTTTCAAGATACCGCTCAAATGACATCATCGTTTCCAGAACAAGGGTTTACCTGGTGAAGTGGCTAAAGCCCTTTGTTCTACGTCTCCCCTTACCATAGTGGCAATGACAACAGAGACGGGCGAAACCCATAGCTCTGCCAAAGACCTGTTGATTGTAGGTACCGTTGAATGTAAATTACGTGGTTTTGAGGCAAAAAGACAGCAGATAAATGATATCATCCCCAGGCAAAGAAGTTCTTTGTCCTGGGGAAGCGTCTTCTCTGAGTCTTTCCTCCGAAACTTTACCGGCAAGATCAGCTGGAATTTTAGTGAAGAGCGAAACAAAGTCGAAAGATACCAATTCTTCACCAGCGTTAAACAGTTTTATCTCTTATGAAATCCTCCAATTTGCAGGAATTTTTGACAGTGTAATCAGTATTCCCAACAACAGGCGACAAAACCCTCGCAAGATAACCAGAAATTGCATAAGTTGGAGAATTAACTAAAGAGACGATAGGTCTCAAAGGAATTCCCGGATTATGAAGCTGTGGTAAGCCGTGAAAACGTGGATATGAGCCGTCATTACATTATAACTTTTTGTGCGTATAGTCACCAATCTTATCAGCTTTCTCCAAATCAAGCAAAACTTTGTTAAACTTTTTTTGACTTTTTCTGGAAGGATAAGAGTTAAGGACTGCAAACGTATTTTTGTCATTGCGCCGAGGCAAAGCTTTGTCCATAAATACGACACAATTACCCTTGTCAGCACATCCTTTCCAAGAGCTATAAGCGCACTTAAAACATCCTTTTGAAACTTTTAAGGAGGAGGTTTAGCTCGCCTGAGCATGCTGCTAACTTCTGCAAACTGATCATCCAAACGAACCTAATACATGCGAAACAAGTTAGTTTAGCGCGTTCTGCGTGAACAAATATCATGGAAAGATTAGATCACGTGCTAGGCGATTCCAGAGGCAAATCAAAGTTCTTTTTCCATTGTAGCGCTTCACAATTAGTTTGTTTATACTTCCAAAACCTCACTGAATATTTGATAAATCAAATTTTGAATAAACTCTTGGCAAACGGAAGAAACAATTTGAAGAAGAACGAAAGCGGAGCAAGATAATATTTCTGTCTTGAAGAAAGCATTTCCGATTGACAAGAAACCCGCGAAGTACATTGTTGCTAATCCATGTCAGAAATCTAACGAAAAATTAAAAATCCAATCTTTTTACACGGAATTTTGCCTCAGTACACGCACTTAATTTTGTGCAATTCACACGCATTTCACACACATGCGTGTATTCTCTATTACACGCAGGTGCGTGAACTGACACGCAGTCTTTAGGATTTGCACGCGCGCTATGCACGTGTGGTGTTGCAGCACACGCGACTGCTACTGTTCTGTTCTGAGTAGCAGGATCCAGAGCCTGAAAAAGGTGCTGGCTACTCTACTCCTTCACAAGCAGGCATACCCCTGCATGGTTTTCCATTGAAATCTAAGCTCCTAAAGACATACAGAATCAGCTCGAAGAAATTGATTAAAATCTCGGTGCAAATTCTAATTCACACGAGAGGAATCAAACATGTGTCTCATTTACTTCGTCTTAATGATACAATACATCCTTCTCCATGGTTGGTGAAACAAAACGTAGCTGCATTTAAAGGCAAAACCACCATCAGATTAAAAGAATACATGATGAGATGGTACTGAAAGTGCCTTATAATACAAACAATGAATTAAGATGTAATGTAGATGTTCTTACACTGTACATCAATGAACATCGTTGACGAATCATTTCCACACGTGTTGTTCGCAAAGCATCTGTATTCTCCACTCTGATTTCTTCTGATGTCAGTAATGTTCAACAGCTTTCCATGAATGACCTCACTAGTATTAATATTCTTCCAAAAAACAGTTGGGGGAGGAGTCCCTGCAATCACATTGCATTCCTTTGTCACATCTCCTCCTTCCTCGACTGTTATATTTAGTAACTGCTCCATGACGGGAAGGTCTAGAAGAAACACATTTAAGTAATTTTTAAATAACTCTCCTTTTTTCTCTTCTTTATAGACAAAATGCAAATGTACTGCATATCAGTGAAACATTGTATCCGAAACCCATTAAAAATGCATTGCAATAAGCTGCTAAGTAACGCTCGTAGAGGTTGACATCTATCAAGTTTCTATAGAGTGCGTTAGGGTTAGTGATTTTCGGACGAACTATTGATAAAGTGCCTTTAGTTAGAGTGTTAAAAGTAACTCCGCGATTGCATTGGTTTCACTTCGCTTCGCTGTGTTTGATATTGAAGATTGCACCAATGCGTCAACCAATCACAAACTAGAGTTAAAGCGATCCCTCCTTTAACACCTGTGCCTTCGTGTACTTCACACTTATTTCAAATCCAATCTTTGAATTCTGATAAAATCCTTGTGAATTGATTTACTATCGTCCTGGTGTGCCCATTCCAATTATGATGTTGTTGGTTTGTTAACAATCAATTGGAACGCGCTCCAGAAGTTACCGAATGTGTTGTTTATATCAAATAGTAAGGAGATCAAATTTAAGTTTCATTGCTTCAAACTCAAGAAAAAATGAAGTAAGGAACAAACCAAAATCTAGCCTGAAAAAGATAGGGAAGTCCAACTAAGTGAGCTTACAAAAAATATAATTGCTAGTGTGCCTTTTTTTTTAATTTCGGATGAGAAACAGAAAGAGAGTTTCACTTTCGTTAGCTATATAATGCTTTAAAAAGGTGATACTTTAATTTAAACATTATACAAACTTACCATTCACATTTAGAGTAATACCCTTTATGCTTGTGACATTGTCAACTTGCTGGTACGCCTGACATTTGTAAACAAATGTTTCCCCTCCTGATATCTTCTCTATCCATGTTCCTTTTCTGCTAAAAATGAGGTCGGTTTCATTCTTAATGAGCACATAGTTATGAACTGGTGGATTTGCTTCGGATGAGTTGCAAGTCAAATTCACCCACAAATCAGTGCAGCTATTGTTCTCTGTTGTATTCCTTTCCAAAGTGACGTTATCTGGCTTAACTGACCAAACAAACAAGTAAGATCAAGTTAACATAAATATTACTCTACTGTTATTACAGTAATTAAGGCTGATTCTATAAGTTTAAGTCAAGTTATCCAATATACGAGAGAACAATGCCTATGCGTGTCTTACAAAGCAAAAGACTTTGCATTGGAAAATCTTTCATTCAGGAAAAATTAGCTTAATTCAGGGGAAGAATACCATCACATGTAAAGGATTACATACTGAAATGTCACTTTTCAAGTGCCTTCTAGTAATACATCACTCGACCTTTTTTCAGACTTTGGCGGCAACACTCAAAGGAAATATCTGAATAAATAGTCTACCAAGAATTTATGACTAAAAAGAGACACTTTTACAACTGACATAGGTTCCTACTTTGTGTAAATCAAAATTAAAAATTGTGACGTGGAGAAACAAAAACTAAAGGCATCAACTGAAAAACACCGAACACCAAACACCACTAAGCCTAGTTATAACAAACTATGAATGACGATGTAATGTACAGGTTCTTACACTGCACATCAATGAACATCGATGTTGAATCATTTCCACAAGTGTTGTTTGCAAAGCATCTGTATTCTCCACTCTGATTTCTCCTGATGTCAGTAATGTTTAACAGCTTTCCATACCAAACCTCACTAGTATTAACTTTCTTCCAAAAAAACGTTAGGGGAGAAGTCCCTGCAGTGACATCACACTCTTTCATCACATTTCCACCTTCCTGGACTGTTACATTTTGTATTTGCTCCACAACAGCTGGAACTTGAAGAAATGAATTGGAAAAACAAAGATGTAAACAGCAAAAATTATTCAATGAAGATAAAACTTTGAATACTTACTCTACTGAAATAAACTTACCAATACACATTAGAGTAAAGCCTTTGAAATATTTGGACAAGGTTTCAGTGGAAATTGTCATGATTCACATATCATCTATTTCACATAACATCTATTTCAACTAATCTGTAATTTCACAAAGCCAAAATCTCCTAGCAATTGTGAACAAAATGACCTATAAAATGGTCTAATCAACTCACACTCAAGTTAACCAGTGATTTTTGGCATTTTTTCTTAACATCACTTTTAAGGTAGATGTAAACAAACATTGTACATCAAAGCTCAAATCGACATCACTGTGTGACTAACGAAACAGTTATCTATTTGGTTGTTTTTTTTCCATGAGGTAAAGGATGGTCACTTTGCTTCATTTCCCTGGACTGATGTCAAGTCAATCAAAATTATGATTGTTTGCTTGAACAAATTAAAATCCTACCATTCACGGTCACGATAACATTGTTGGTGCTTGTGACATTGCCAACTTGCTGTTGTGCCTGACATTTGTAAACAAACGTTTGTCCACTTGATATTTTCTCTATCCACATTCCTTTTTTGCTGAAAAGGATCTCTTTTTCATTCTTAAGGAGCAAATAGCTATAAACTGGTGGATTGGCTTTGGATGAGTGACAAGTAAAATTCACCCACATATCAGTGCAGCCACTGTTTTCTGTTGTGTTCATTTCCAAAGTGACATTATCTGGCTTGACTGTGAAACGAAAATGAAAAATCTCAGCTTTTGGCTATCTAGCAAATAGCACAATATAACTCAGCCTGCAGTTCTCAACTTGCAATTCCACCTCAAATATTTTGATTCATTTTATCAGTATAAGACAACAAACGGCTGTGTGGAGTTTAGAAAAATAAAATGTCTGCTTCTACTCTATAATGAACAAATCTAAGTTCTGAAATAATGTACGAGAGAAATCACAAGAAATTGACAGAAACCTTACCTGCTTTCACACAAACTTATTTATCCTTTATTTATGTAGAATACATCCCCCTTAACTTTCATCAACCACAAAGCAGCTTAACCCTGATGAAACTAACATCAGGTATATACAATAACAAAATGAGAATGCTAGAAAGGGCTCTCTAATAAACCATTTATCAATACCTTCTTTAGGCTGAGGTGACAACTTTCAAAGACACATTTGAATATACAATCTACTATGAACAAAACGACACTGACTCTAACCACATGTAATACTACTAGGTATAAAAGAAGCGATGCAATTATACATGTACTCTGTATAAAGGACTAAAAAACACTGAACAGCAAACACTACAACTGCCAAGCCTCCTACATCGGTGAGACTGGCAGAAACCTCACAACAAGACTGACTGAACACAGACGGGCGACGAGGAAAGGTGATGTCAGCAATCACATTGCTGAACACCATCGACTTACCAACCACAACATTGACTGGGACTCTGCGCAATGCCTAACCTACAGCACTGACTATTTTCAACGACTGACTCTGGAAAGCTGGTTTACTAACTTAGAACAGACTCCCCTAAACAGATGTCAACAACTACCCGCCCCATACAAACGACTCATTCACGACATAAACATCACAAACGACCGAAAAAGAACAACCTAGCTTTACCGACAGACCGAAACAGACCAATCACGAACGACTTACGTCACTTGAGTCTTACAGCCAATAACATCACGGCAAAACCAACCGATCATTTCACACGAACTGGAATAAGAACATTCTACTGACAACAATCACTCACTTGACTCTGATGATGACTTCCGCACAGGTTGTCGAAACGTCAGTCACTGCCACCGACAACAGTCCTTCTCAGGACTACACTCACCCGGACGATCAGACTACACCTTCACATAAAAAAAAAAAAAAAAACTAGGAATGAAGATGTAATGTATATGTTCTTACACTGCACATCAATGAACATCGATGTTGAATCATTTCCACAAGTGTTGTTTGTAAAGCATCTGTATTCTCCACTCTGATTTCTGTTGATGTCAGTAATGTTCAATGGCTTTCCATACCAGACCTCACTAGTATTAACTTTCTTCCAAAAAAAAGTTAGGGGAGGAGTCCCTGTGGTCACATCACACTCCTTGACCACATCTCTACCTTCCTGGACTTGTTCATTTTTCAGCTGTTTCACAGAGGGTGGCTCTAGAAGAAATACATTTAGGCAAGTCATAAATCAGACCAAGTAGAGTCCCTCCTTTTTGGCAAAGTGGGTCGCGCAAGTCAAAAAAGTATCTGTGAAAAAAAAGTTGACGTTAACGCATTGCGGGAAACTCTTAAAGTGATGCTGATGTGCAGCAGGGGCTCCATGAGTAAGGCCTTTGAAAAGTAGTACTTTTTCAGCACCTCAGTCATGGAGCTCCTATTGTGCATCTGTGTCACTTCAAGAGTTCCCAATGGGGTACAGACAACAATTTTTTTTTGATTGATTATTTTTACTCACATGACAGACTTTGCCAAAAAGGAGGGGCTACTCATAGTCTAGTCATAAATATCTTTTTCTTTCTATGCCTTTTTTATCAACAAAATCCAAATGTAATGCATGCCAGTGCAACTTTGTATCTGAAAGTCATTTAAATTTATTTTAATGCACATAAACATCCATCTGCCTTTTTAAAACTTGGAATAGGAATAGAAACACAAAGTTTCACTTTCTTCACCCATATAATGCATTACAATTTTGATAATTTGTTTATCAACATTATTATCCAAACCTACCTTTCACAGATAAAGAAATAATATTTGTGCTTGTGACATTGTCAATTTCCTGATATGCCTGACATTTGTAAACAAATGTTTTTCCTTGTAAAATTTTCTCTATCCATGTTCCTTTTTGGTTGAAACTGACCTCAGTTTCATTCTTAAGGAGCAAATAGTTATGAACAGGTGGACTGGCTTCAGATGAGTTACATGTGAAATTCACCCACAGATCATTGCAGCCATTGTTCTCTGTTGTGTTCATTTCCAAAGTGACATTATCAGGCTTAACTGTACAATAAAATTGATAACTCATGTTAATTCCTTTTTACAAACATAACTTGGTAAAAAGACTGAATACACAGTTAATGTGAATGCGATGTAACTGCAATTATTATAGACATAATTGTCTTTTGCTTGAGAATTGTAATTGGGCACATCAAATCATCATCATCTTAAAAATAAATGATGAAAATACCGATTTAAAATAACTAGTGTACATGTAAAAGAAAAACTGTTAACTTGAAGGTCGTTTTGCATTGCACTAATTACTGGTGATTAAATCAACAAAGTGCAGCCAACCCACCTAAAGAGAAACGACTAGTTGGTTAATAAATAAACAAAGTAGAGCCAACCCACCTAAAGAAAAACAACTAGTTGGTTAATAAATGTTGGTTGCTAAACTTTGAACAGCAGTCATTCTTTTGACCGAGAAAGTAATATCTGTCAACCACAGTAAATGCTATCCTCATAGATGCTAAAAAAGAGTCTTCCAAACAATTTAAAAAATTGTTTTTCGATAATAGTCTAACTTTTCTTTTATTTCACAAATTGTTAATTTTTATTTTTCATAATTTCATAATTTTAGTACATTTCTGAGCAGCACTAACTTAACATTAACAAGTTAGATTCAGAGTGCTTGTTTCTAATGGTACCTTTTGCTCATGAATATTATTATTTCTATAAGTGCAGTTACCATAAAATTTGTAAGTTAATCTTAAAACTGCCTCTGTAGATAACAATATAGAATTATACTTTGTATTGGCTACCTACAGTGTGCTCTTGAATAGAGTAGCTGAGTCTTCAAACATCAATGATGCACGAACCTGGATGAAGAGTACGGCACGGGCATCTTTTCCAGCCCCGAGGCAAAGAAAGGAAAGCTTAAGTCATTCTTAACATTGACTAATGTGAAAAGACTTTAAAAATCTGGCAACTGGATGTGGCTCAGCAGGCTTCTTTCTTTGACAGTACCTTAAGCATGTAGAGGTTGTAATGCATCAAGGATTATCATCCAGTTACAAGCCATTGAATAATATGAGGGACGTTAGCCAAGACCATACAACCTCCACAAAAGCAGAAATTTCTGTGAGCAGCACCATCAGACGAATAAAACTCCCTTTGTGTGAAGCTTGAGAGAGCGTTTTTTCTTCCCTCTTGGTCAAAATGGTTAGATCATTTAAAGTGCCCCTGAGACCAAAATTTTCATACACCCTTTTTTTCCATTTTCGTGCTCAGTGTGTCTCCTTCACCTACTCTGCCAAATTTCAGTTTAGACCGAGCACCAGAAATACTTTTTTTCAGTCGCAGATCTACGCCAAAAAATACTTTGCAACGCAATGAGGTCACGGCTCTAAGAGAGTTGAAAAAAACTTTGCTTTAAACCTCATGGAAGCAACACAACAATAGTCATCATGAATAAGACAGAAAAAACAAAGGTGGCCAAAGTGCAACTCTGAGATCATTGACCAAAATTCATCTGAGATCATTGATCAAATCAGTTCAAGGAGGAAAACACACGGATGGCTTAGAAATGGCTTTCACAAACTCCCAATATATCCGCCTTCGGATACACAATTAGCCACTGCCGAAAACTATTTTTACTAATCACCCGATCATTTCTTACAAAAAAGGAAAATCCCTTACGACAAGCAAAAATACAGTTCGAAGGCGATAAAGCGATGTGACCACTAAAGCCACACGGGGAATTCGTTCCGTTCTTTGTTTATCTTTATTCGCAGGGCAAAATTTCATTGTTTGTCGGCGCAAAACTATCCACAAAAGCTTCAGGCACAATTCATCGTCTGAAAAAGTCAACATTTCCCGACTGACAACGAAACAGTTCTCAAAAAAAGAATATGTGTGATTCTCTGTGCAGCGAACAAAGAGAGTTGTGACAAAGCAAAGCATAAGTTTGTTGAGCCTTTGACGTCATGATGACTTTTTTGCAGGCTTGGCTGGAACATGTTTTCAGCAATGGCGGACGATTTTTGGACGACTTTGAAGCGGTAAAAATTGGTCATCGAAGGTTTGTTTTGAGTTTTTAATGGCAAAAAAGGTCTTAACTGGACCCAATTCAGCATTGTGTAAACAATTTAGGCCAAAATAAAATGGTCAATTTTTGTCTCGGGCACTTTAAGAGTTGCATAAAGTGGAAAGGATCGAAATAACATCACTGTTAAAGATAATAGCCCTGACTCTTTGGTTGAATAGCCCATTTCCGAGTTGCTAAGGGCCCTGGAAACTGGTTCCGAATTTATGCATGGGAGCGAGGCTAGGTGCTCACATAGCGGTGCGAAAATATAAATATCAGCAAGTTTTATAAAAAAAGTTTAGACTGACTAAATATGGTTTACTGCTCCGTAGCTTTGAGTCCGAATGGTAATCGGAACAGGGCAGCCCTGTCTTTCTTTCGATTTCTTACGGACAAATGACATATGTTTGTTGTTGTTAAATGACATTCTATTTGGTTGAAATTCTGTCATAGAGCTGATAGCAAGTTCAAAGAAGGTCAAAGGAAAGCAATAGCTGGCAAGGAAAACAACTGAAGGATCTGTAATGAGCACTTTACTGATGATTCTCATCGGAAAACACTGAATGGTAGACATACCCTCAACGATTATGCCATACCAGCAATATTTCGAATCTACAACAAACCTGAAACATCAAAATGGGTCAAAATGATATGGTTTCAAATGAAGTTTTTCTTCTTTTCAAAACTCTGCTTTGACAATATTAAGATCTTCTAGTCGAAAGGCATAGTCACTGTTTCTATCTCTACGTTTCCAGAGACATTTCTCTGAAAGGCATGTGTTTGTTAGGTTATTTGATATCGTAGACTGAAAATCAAAAAGTGCAGCAGTGACATGTTTACAAGCACGATCGCTACCTCCCTTACACCACAGAGGCCCATACAATATGTTTGTGTAGCCGACTGTTGTTTTCTAGTGAATGTACCAGATTTACCATTTGCCTCACCTCTAGTGATATATTGCTGACTATGTATATAAATCAATGATAAATAAATGTTGAGTTACTTTACCTGTGGGATATAGTTGTCCTTTTGCCTCAGAAATGTTGTTTTTTTTTTAGTGATTTTGAATAAGTCTGAATTCGTCGTTAATGTAACGTATAAAAGAAAGACAAGGGTGGAAACCTTGTTTTGAAAGGGTTCAAGCACCAGAGCGATTTTTTCCCTGAAAATCGCATCCCTCTGCTTTCAAACTTTGCAGCATTAAGGTCAAAAGATTCACGATTCTCCTCGTACCTTCCAATTGAAAATTAATCCAAACGGACCAGAGCAAGCCCTCGAAGAAAATCAAAATCCCACAGTATTAAAATGTCTGGGATGCGTAGCAAGATTCTCATGTGCCACCCAGAATCCCTTTTCTGATTGGACGATGTTAAATGATGACAAATTCAAAATATCTAACAAGGGTGGGGAACCATTGGCATTTAGTGATCGTTTAACGTCATCCAATTAGAAAAGGGCAATCAGCATGACGGTTTCTAGCTGGCACATGAGAATCTTGCTATGCATCCCAGACGTTTTAATACTGTGAGATTTTGACTTTCTTCGAGGGCTTGCTCCGGTCCGTTTGGATGGATTTTCGATTGGAAGGTACAAGGAGAATTGTGAATCTCTTGACCTTAATGCTGCGAAGTTTGAAAGCAGAGCGATACGATTTTCAGGGGGAAAATCGCTCTGGCGCTTGAACCCTTTCAAAACAAGGGTTCAAGGTTTCTTTTATGTATTACATTAATGAAAAACTCAAACTCACTTAAAATCCCTCAAAAAATCATTTTTGAGGCAAAAGGACGACTATACACCACAGGTAAGGTAATTTAACGTTTATTTCTCATTGATTTATTTACAAAGTCAGCAATATATCGCTATAAGTGAGGCAAACGGTAAATCTGGTACATTCACAATAAAATAACAATCGGCTACACAAACAGATTGTATGGGCCCCCTGTGCTTACACGGACGATACGCCGCGTCCACTTCGGCACTCGATTCCAAAATTAAAAAACCATTATAAGTTGACTGACTGTCTTCTGTTTTTTTCGTTCAGCTGGCTTCACTTTAAACTGAAAGTAAGAAAACGGTTTGTTTTCCAATCGACAACACTGTAAATCTTCCACGCGTCTATCATGGAACAGATTGTATCCATGTAGGCTTTTAAACGACCTAAGGTTCTCAACTGAATAGTCGTCTTTTCCGACTAACTAGCTATGCAAGTCGGCAAATGTGAATTCAGTTATGCTCGCGAAATTGTGAGACCAAGAGCGCAATGTATCGGGATTAGGAGGTAGTCCCTCGTTTGTCCGTAGCTTTTCCTCCAACACCTGATCAAACGATTCCATGACTTCTTTGAGTTTTAGCTGCTTCATTTCCGCCCCAATTTGACATAGCTCTAAAAGTTCAGCCCTTCTCTTCCCTTTTCCCCTATCACTCCACTGGATTCCACTATCAGACAAATATTTTTTCAGGTTTACTGTTTTCTACTCTATACTTGGAGAAATCCACATCCCTGGACGCCATAATATTGCCAAGCACATGCCTAGCCTCGTTGTGATGTGCTGAATTCAGTATCAGCTCAACGCGCCATACAACGCGGAAATGGGCTATTTGCATTTCCACAAAGTAAAGTTTCAGCTCAGGAGGTTGGTGCTGGCACTGAAGCTGTAAGAGACAACGCCCACTTGACCAAACAATGGCAGCCAGATTCGTCATGAGGAGAAGAAATTAAACCTACCAAAAACATAGGGTAACAGGCCTCCTCGCTTTTTTTAGCAAGAGAAGCAGCAGCTTGTTTATTTTCATTCATGTCAGTGGCCAAGTTTGCCATTGATTGTTTCTTGATTTAAGGCACGAAGAAAAGTTTTGTCACCTGCAGTCTAAGCCAAGTGCTTCCTCTCTGATTCCCTACTCTCATCGTTTTAATAACAATAACACAACTCATTTAAAGAGTGCATATACAAAGGCTCTATGTGCTTTACAATGTAGTACAAGGAAGTAAATAAAATGACTTGGAAAAGAAATAGCTTAGTCACTAAAAACTTTGGCCAAAAGAAATGTCTTAAGTTTGGTTTTAAGGGTTTCCAAATTGTAACAGGATGTTATGTGAATGGCAGATGGTTCCAGAGTTCTGGGACAGAGCAGCGAAAGCTCTCGCGCCATAAGTCATCAAGTTGTAATTTGGATGAGATAAGTGTTGAGAGGATGACAACCAAAGTGAATGCACGAGACAATTATGAATGAGTAGATCTTGAAGATAAGATGGTGCAAGATTATAAAGAGACTTTATAGTTAAAAGGAGTATCCTGAACTTTATATGTTCAGCTACAGGGAGCCAGTGTAGATCATTCAACAGTAGCGTTACATGATCATATTTCCTTGAACATGTTACCAAGCGGGCAGACGCGTTCTGTACACACTGCAATTTTTGTAGTGGACACTTAGGAACACCATTTTGCAGAGAGTTACAGAAGTCTAATTTCGAGGTGATAAAGCATGAATTAAGATTTCTGTGGTCTTCACTGACAGGTATTTACGAATTCTGGCGATGCTGCGTAAATGATGGAATGCACCCTTACAAGTAGAATTTATGTGGGGTGCCATTGAAAGAGTGGAATCAAAGGTAACACCAATACCCCTAATGGATTAGGAGGGATAAAGAAAATCACCACCAAAATAAAGTGGAGGAAAATAATTTTGTGGGCAGTACTTGGAGTAAAAATATATGAGTTACATATTTAGATAAAAAATGTGAAACCATGTCTCATGATTGCTTCTTCACTGTTTATATTAGCCTGGTATTGCTCTTTCACTGAATTTTGTCTGAATAAATTAATGCCAATTAGTTTCCAGCACATGTTTACGTTCAAAGCGCAGCTCACAGTTATTTTTCCACAGATTTGACTCCCACTAATCAAAGAGATTTGCCAATGAGCAACTCATAATTTCACTCCTCACAAAGACCTTGTGGTCAGCGCTGTGGACATTAACCTGTTATTTTTGCGTGCTGTTGTTTCCTTAAACAATTCTTATCACTTATCATACATTTTTAAAAGCAGATACCTTTCACAAGCCTTTCAATACATGTATTTTTACTCCACAGATCATGCAATAAGAAATGCAAGTTTGATATCTGAGTAATGCAATTTGAGTGCTTTCATTCACTGAGCAACCAACGTACACAATGATCAAGCTTTTTACTTTAGGTGCGTGGAATTACACAGAGCCATAAATTTCACTTTTTCTGGAACTCACCCAACTCAAAACCGAGGTAAGAGGTGATTGTTGACTTTAACTACCCTGTGAAAAGGGTTTGTCCATAATTCAGACAAAATACTGGTAATCAATGTCTTCCCGACTTTAAACTTCCTTCGAAGACTTTTAAATTTGAATTTTCTTAACCAAAGTTAAATGACAAGATGATGGCAGGAAAGATCACCGTCAGTAAATTCATCTGCATTGTTTGGAGTTGTAAGTATTTGTTTTGTCTCATTTTTGGGATATAGATGCCGTTAATGATATTATTGAAATACCAAACACTCTGGGTTTGATAATCATTCTGAAAATAAGATTTTGAGTAAGACCATCAGTGTTGTTAGGCTTTTACACTCAATATAATACTTGATTAATTAACTCAGTTATTCAACAACAGTTATAAACTATAAACATTTTCATTAATTTGTCTCCCTATGCCCTCAAAAGGAAAACTTTTACTTAAATTGGAGATGCAACACATATATCAGTTAAATATTTTCTTTTGGCATACAGAGTATCAATATTGAATGTAGTTTAAATTGTTCTAAAATTCACATTTAAGGATGAAGCACAAACAACTTCTACATATGTCAGCCATCATGAAGGGAAGGGCATTCTTTTCTAACATAATTTTATGTGTACACTTATAACTATCCACCCCTATGAGGAATGACACCCTGGATTTTACGGAATCCATCAAGATAATTTTGAATAGCTGCAACCCTAAAGTTGCTCAAAAACCTTTCCGGACTTCGAGGCATATTTTAGCTGAACCCAAGGATCCTGTCATGAAAGAACAATGAACCGATACTATAGGCCTTTCCCAAGATATTTGAAACGCAAAGGTGGCTGGGAGAGTGTAGCTCGTAAGCGAGGCTATGGTAAGTACATTTCCAAGATGGTGGAAATCGAATGGCTTCAGTCACATGCCCGCAAAGACCATCTACAAACATGGCTTAAAGCTCGCGGGTTGAAAACAACAGGACAAAAGGAGGAACTTGTCCAACGTGTGGTTGAAGCGGATAAAGATGGGACTGAGACGATCGAAGAAAGGGAAATGAGAGAGAAACAAGAGCGAGAAACGAGAGCTGCTGAAAAACTTCGCAGTCCATCTGAGGATCTTCCAGATCCTAGAGCTTTGAACAACTGGACGAGTGATCTTTCGAAACTGCCACCGATTAGTTATAAAGAAATTATAGACTATTTGGTTTATGGAAGATGTAAATTCTTCCAAAGGGAAGAC